TCCGACCAGGAACGACATGGAAGTACTGGAGGTTGCAGGAGCGCTGGGTCGTGATAGTGTGAAGACGTGGCTCCAGGGCCTCGGAATAAACAAGGGGCTTTAAGTAACGAAGCCGAGTTAGACATCGGTGACATGGAGGAAGCGGACAAGGAGTTACTATTGATATTGTTACGATACTACCCGGCGCTACTAGAGCCGAGGGAAGGTTGCCCACCGATGACGACGCTGGGAGTGGAACACGAGATTCACACTGGGAACGAAGCTCCGATCAAGGTGCGGCCACGACGGCACGCTCACGAGGAACAGCACATCATCGACGACAACATCGACTCGATGTTGAAGGACGGCGTAGTGGAAGAGAGCCACGGCGCGTGGGGCTTCCCCGTCGTGCTCATGAAAAAAAGGACGGGTCGGTACGACTTTGTATTGACTACCGGCTACTGAATGCGATCGCTGAGAGGGACGTGTACCCTCTCCAGAGGATCGACAACACACTCGACAACTTGCACGGAGCGAGGCGGTTCACCAGCTTGGACCTGCGCTCGTGGTACTGGCAGGTGCCCGTGGCGGAACGAGACAGAGATAAGACGGGTTTTGTGTCCAGGAAGGGGCTCTTTCGGTTCGTGCGCATGCCGTTTGGGCTGGCTAATGCGCCAGGGACCTTCCAGGGATGATGAACGCGGTGCTGCGCGGACTTACGTGGCAGACGTGTTTGGTTTATCTAGATGACGTGATTGTATTCACGAAGGTCAGTGTGGCACGGCACGTGGTGGAGCTGGCCACGGTGCTCGAGAGGCTCTCACGAGCAGGGCTCTCATTGAAGGCGAAAAAATGCACGTTCGCGGTGGAGAGACTAGAGTACCTGCCACGAGTTGGATGCCTATGGAGTGAGGCCGATGCAGAGCCTCGTAAGCAGTGTGAAGGACTTCCCGGTCCCAAACGACGCGACCGAGGTGAAGCGGTTCGTGCACATGACCGGTTATTACAGAAGGTTCGTGCCGGTCTTCGCGAGTCGGGTAGCACCGCTCACTAAACTACTAAGGAAGGGCGCAGTGTGGCGCTGGGGTGATGGCCAGCAGCGAGCGTTCGAGAACTTGAAGAACGCACTGACGGAAAGGCCACTGCTGGCGTACCTGGACTTTTCGAAGACGTTCCGGTTAGTGGCGGACGCGTCGAGGACGGGGTTAGGCGCGGTACTGGTACAGGACCAGGGCGGTGGTGAGCAGCCGGTTGCGTACGCGTCGAAGGTGAATTCAGAGACGGTGGCCAAGTATAGTATTACCGACTTGGAGTGCGCGGCGGTGATCTAGGCCGTGAAGCTGTTTCGTCCCTATCTATACGGACGGCGTTTTGAGTTGGTGACGGACCATTCACCCCTAAATTGGCTAATGACAAGCAAGGACCTGACAGGGAGGTTGCACCGCTGGGCTTTGCAGCTCTAGGAGTACAATTTCCAGGTGGTGTATCGGCCAGAATCGAGCAACGTGGTGGCCGACACTCTTTCACGGGCGCCGGTGGACGTGGTGGTGCCGGTCAACGCGGTGGTACCGGCGAACACGGAGGTTCCGGCGAACGCGGCGACAGC